TTCTATCGCGTAAAGTGGGTGGGTGTGAGTGGATTCCACCCAGTGAGCGCCATGGCCTCAGAAGCAGATGGTCCCTAATGGCCGCCCTGTGTCCAGAGGCACAGGCTGGACTTGAACGCCTGCAGGCCCCACACCACCTGGCACACCTGTTCTGGTCGCAGTGGAGGCGACTCACAGGCACACGTGTGACCGCGGGGCTCCAGACAGATCCGTCGGACACAGAACGCCAGGCGCCCAGCAGCGCCCCGCCTGCTCTTCTGGGAACACCCGCCCACCTTTGTCCACGTGCGGTTGACCGCCTGTCCCGGGGTTCCGCCCTGTCCTGGGGCGGTGTCCATCCTTGGATGCGTGGCCCACACTTTCACCCCAATGTTGCAGATGCCCCATCACCCCCACCCTCCTCCCGCCCTCGGCCGTCTTTCTAACCCCCAGTGCTCCCTGAGCCTCACTCCCTGTGTGCTAGTTCTGGTGACTGTCTTCCAGGCATCATCCCACAGGCCTGGTTAGGGTTTGCCACCCGCTGACCCCCTCCAGGCCTCCTCTCCTCTGCTGAGCCCCCCATAGCACAGTGTTTGCTTGGTGGGCCTTCACTCAGACTTGGCCGGTGCCATTGTCATGGAGCAGAGAAGGGACAGGTGTGACTAAGTCAAACAGTCCACTGGCCGGCCCTGCTGTCTTGTTCCAAGACCCTGTGTTAGCACGCTGCAGTGTAAAAGCTGTGACCAGGCCTGCCTCAGGGCGACTGGCTTGGATCTCCCAGGGTGGGCCGAGGTCTACATTTGTCCAGCCTGACACTGCCACAGCCCCTGTGCCTGTCCTGCCCGTCATCCTGCAGGAGCAGCGGGGGCCTTTACTTCTGAGCTCTCCCTGAGCACCTGCTCCAACCTGTGCTCCTGCCTTTCTTCCGTCTGCCTTGTAACATCATTTTGGGGGAAGTGCACAAACCTCTTACCTGCTAGCGGGCACAGGCAGGGGTAGATACCCCTTGGGTGTGTCTTTGGCTGGTGCAGGAGTTCCCACGAGTCCTGGGACCCCTGGAGGTGGGGGTTAGCCCAGTCAGACTTCACTTGAACTCCTTCCTGTAAGCCCAGTTGTCAGCAGGTGCTGAAGCCAAGGTGGGCCAGCCCCCACCTTGCACAGCACACACAGGTGTCCCTGTGTCACTGTACACCAGGGACAGAACAGATGCCTGCTCGCTGAGAAACCTGGCTGCAGGCAGCCAGTCCCTCTGGCCATGCTGTGAGCCCGCCATCGATCAGGTCAGGACGTGGAGGACTTGGGGTGGCGGCAGCCTTCTCACTCCTGGCTCGGGGGGGGGGGGGGGCAGGGAGTGCAGGCTGGACCTGGGGAAGGACCAAAATGCATGGGGCTACGCTGAGACCCCCAGCCCTCACCAGGCCCTCCAGGCACCCTGTGCTGGGAGGCCAAGGCTGTGGCCAGCCCCTCGACAGGACAGCCAGGGGTGAGGGCATGTGTCTCGCCTGGAGACCGCTGTTTTCGTGTGAACACATCTATACAAATTGGGATAGTTTAGCCTCGAATCAGTATTTCTGGTTCTCCTACAGCAAAGGATCTGCACCCCTGTGGGGCGCTGGCGACTGGCATGGGCTGAGGCCCTGGGGGCTGCACTGCTCCCTGATGCACCCGTCTGGGCCCAGTGTCACCCGGTCACTTGTGTTTTCCTGTGGTGCTGCTGGGGCACAGTCGGCAGGTCCAGAGAAGGGGCGTTTCGGTCTCTGATTGCTTTTTGTGTTTTGCGTGTGGACATTTTGTCTCAGTGTTCTTACTGAGGCATGATTTACGCAATCCGACTCAGTGTCCCCGCACCGTCCGCCCTTCCGCAGGTTCCCCGGGTCCGCCCGTCTCAGACCTCGTGCCAGTCGGGACTCCTGCAGCACAGTGCTTTCCAGAGACACCTGATAGTGTTCCGATCACCACTCCGGTTGCAGTGTGACCGGGCCGTGCAGTGGACGCTGTTCCTCCAGGTCTCCTTTGGCCGCTTAAAGGTCCGTTTTCAGGAGTTGTCCTGGAGGAACTGCGGACGAATGAGTGTTGTCTAGTGTTCAGCTACCGACTTCAGTGCGTGTCAGTCAGAAGTGCCTCACTGGCGGTGCTGTGTGTCCTGTCACCAGTGTTCTGTTGGCTCGGACCCGGACACCGTCCAGTCTCGGCGGCGGAGCGCTGCCCCTGCGCTGTGCCGCGCACCTTCGCCTCTCGGACAGCCGCGCCCGTTTTACCTGACGGTCATTGCCCGGCACGCCTGCCCCACTGTCTGAAACGCCCTCCCGAGTCACTTGACTCAGCGCCTCTCTCGCCGAGGGCTTCCTCTCTCAAGCGTTTTAAAGTGACGTCTCCCCTTGCGTGTGTTCTGTTTCTTGGTTCGTCAGCCTCGGCGTCCGTGTCGGTGTCAGTGACATGACTCTCGTGATGGGCCACAAGCCCGCTGCCTCACCCCCCCTGCTTCCCATGGCCGAGCATCGCGCCCGCGCAGCTGGGGCGTCCGCCCCCCGGGCTCCAGGCCTGCGCTTGTGTTGCTGAGGATTGTGTTCGGGACTTACACTCTGACTCCTTCCGCCGTCACTTCTCGTCTGTTGGCGAAGTCTGCCTTCTAGTCACATCCTCAGGGACAGTGCACAGAAACGGGGCCCCTGAGGCTGGAGACTGTCCATGACACAAGGTCACGTGTAACTTAGAATTTTCTGAGGGCCACCCCAAAAACGGGGAGAGAAGCAGGTGAAACGACCGTTACTAACGTACTGTTTACCCCAGGGTCATCGTTTCCACGCGCAGCCCAGCAACACCTCACACTGTGAAGGTGTTTGGGGTCCTTCTGGGACTGGGTTTTGGAACACCGAGTGCTGCACACCTGAAGCCTCGGGACTGGCCGTGTTTCCAGTGCTCACATGTGTGTACCCAGGAAAGGCGTGGTAGCTGTGGGATCCGCAGCTCACTTTCTGTTCCTGCATCTTGCTACCAGAGTGCCAGGATGGTAGCAGGGTCTTCTGCCGTGGAAGTCCCTGTGGACTCTGTCAGGCCCTGTCCTGACGTTCTGTGCGTGGGGCAGGCCGACGCGGCTGCGCTCCTCAGCCCAGCACTTTCTAGGTCCTGGGCACATTGGTGAGTGTCCGTGCCAGACAGCCAGCCCTCTGCTGTCTGGGCAGCCCCGTTTATTTGTCCATCCCGTGAAGGGCTTTGGGCTGCTTTCCACGCTTGGCCCGCTGCCGTAACCTGTGTGCAGTGCTGTGTGTGGACATGTGTTTTCGGGTCTCAGGTGGGCTTGGTGCGGGGTCCTGGCTCCTGCTCAGCCTGGGGGTCCACCCAGGATTCTTCCCACCATGGGCTCTGACCGCCGCTCCGCACTGCGCAGGCCCTGACCGCAGGAAGCCAGAGGTTTGCCGAGAGTGGGGTGGCGCCGCCGCACTGAGCCTGACAGGAGTCTGCCCGGTCAAGACCCCCGAGGTGCCATCACTCCGTCTGCAAGATGGTGGTCCCTGTTTACTCTGAAGAGCCCGGACTTGCACCGTCCTGCTGCCTGGCGCTACTGTCGGAGGGTCAGGCTTCAGACCACCCATCTCCTCTGTCTGGCATGTCAACTGGAGGCGACCTGCCTTCTCAGTTGTTCAGGCTATAAACGCCCAGTCACCTCCCTCCCACCCTCCCAAGTTCTACACCCGCTGCCCCCCGCCCACTGCCCTCCCCCACCAGGTGCTTCCTGCGGCTGCACCCGCTCTGCTCTGCCAGTCTGCTAGTCTCAGCCCCGCTCAGGCCTCTGAAGGGCTCTGTTTGCCGCTCAGAGTCGAGGCCAGAGCCCTCCCCAGCCAGGCTTGCTGGCCCAGTCCCACCCCTGTGCCTGCCTGCTGGTCCACTCTCCTTGGGGGCAGCCTCTGCACACTCCTTGGGGGGTCTGGCCTTGCCCACCAGCCCCCACTTTCCTTTCTGGCTTATCACCTACAGTACAGTAAATCCTGCCTCTTTCCCTTAGTTCTTTCATGCGTGGAGGGTCTCCCCTCACTGGAAGGTGTGGACACAGGGTGGACAGCAGCCTTTGTCTCTTATAGCTTTGGGGCTGGCGCTCTCTGCCTCCTGGGGGTGAGTGGATGGATGGAGGGTGAAGACAGCGGGCCGCTCACAGACGCGGGCAGCAGCGTCTGCTGGACGGGACTCTCCGTTGTGAGGCTTGGGTGCTTTCCCTGCATCAAAGACTCTAACTGACATCCCAGTTCAGATTTTTTTTAAATATTTTATTTATTTATTTTTAGAGAGAGGGGAAGGGAAGGAGAAAGAGAGAAACATCAATGTGTGGTTGCCTTTCATGTGTCCCCCACTGGGGACTTGGCCTGCAACCCAGGCATGTGCCCTGACTGGGAATCAAACCAGTGACCCTTTGCTTCACAGGCCCGAGCTCACCAGTTCAGATTCTTGTTGTCTGATTATGAATGTTTTATCAGCCGCCCCTCGCTCACCCCCTGCAGGTGATCCTCAAAGGCAGCATTGAAGTGGGGAGCGAGTAGGGGAGGAAGGGCTCTCACCCCCACTCTGCCCAGGCCACCGCCCTGCCCCGTGTGGCCCTGGGGCTGCCACGAGCCTGGCCACACAGCCTCCTCCTCAGTCCCTGTTGTTTCAGCGGAGGTGGGACACTGCCCACCTCTGGAGCCCTTCCCCCTGGGCATTATTCTCCCAGACTGCTTCCTATTTACAGCCAGAGGTTGTGTCATTTCAGAGGCCGAGATGCTCCCAGAGCTCCTGTCCCTTCCATGTCTCGTTCTCCCTTCTGTACGGGGACTACCACGTTCTCTCAGTTTGCAAGACAGCATCTGCTCATCGTTGGGCCTTTTTCTCTCTTCTTGACAGGTGGCTGGTGGCCCGTTCACCATCTGCGGGCTCCGCCGTATGGCAGCGTGTGCCCGTGGGGTGTGTCTTCACACAAAGCTCAGCAGGGCTCCGTCGGCAGGAGACCAGTGGACATGGAGCCCCTGACTGTCTCTCCCGTTTGTCCTCAGAGCCCCCCAAGATGAACCCGGTGGTGAAGCCGCTGTCCTGGATGCTGGGCACCTGGCTGTCGGACCCACCAGGCGCCGGCACCTTCCCGACGCTGCAGCCCTTCCAGTACCTGGAGGAGGTGCACATCTCCCACGTGGGCCAGCCTGTGCTCAACTTCTCGTGAGTGCGCGCGGGCCTCCAGAGGGCGGCAGTGGGACGGGTGTGTCCCGGAGGCTCCCTCCTCCGCCACTGAACCCCAGCCGGACACACGCTGGGCAGAAGGGGACCGCCCAGCTCACCTGTGTGTGGGATGGTGCCCGGCCGGCAAGACCGAGGCCCGTTTCCCCAAACACAGAGGTGAGGGCTCATGCCCAGCTTCCTCCCTCACCCCAAAATCACTGAAAAGGAGGCGGCTTGGCTTTCTCGTAGACACACCCCCGAGCTAGTCGAGGTCTCCAAGGGGCTGTCAGTGTGGTGCTCAGACTCTCACTGGACAACAAAGCCACAGGCGTCTGAGGCCACAGCTGCGTGGGCATCGCCCCTGCTCACAGCGGGAGAGGACACGGGGCAGGGGGCTGAGAGTGTTTTTACCTCTAGTTACAGAAGTAACACTCAGTTTTTAGTTAAAACCAAAAGGACATATGTAAAACCAAAAGTAAAACTCTCTCCTCCCCCATCCGCACGCATGAGTTACACATTAAAAATACCGTTAAATGAACCCGAGGCTGTCTGTGTCACGTCTGGTGATTTCAGAAGAATTTAGAAGATCGTGCTTTAAAAAGCACTGTCTTGCTCTGGCCCAGTAGCTCAGTTGGTTGGGCGCCGTCCCACACACCGAGGTGCTGCAGATCCGACCCTCGTCAGGGCCGGTCCCGGGGAAGACCGCTCGGTGTTCTTCTCATCGAATCCCCTCGCCCCCACTCCCTCTAAAGTCAATAAACAAATCCTTGGGGAAGGTGTTTGTTGTTTTTTTTTTAATTTTTAGAGAGGGGAAAGGAGGAGAAAGAGTGGGAGAGAAACATCAGTGTGTGGCTGCCTCTTGCACACCCCATATGGGGGCCTGGCCCGCAACCCAGGCCTGTGCCCTGACCAGGAACCGAACTGGCGACCCTTTGGTTCGCAGCCCGCGCTCAGTCCACTGAGCTACACCAGCCAGGGCAAGTTTTGTTTTTTTGTTTTGTTTAATTTTATCTCCTGCATTTTTGTCATCTCCATTTTTTTTATCCCCGCCTGAGGATATGTTTATTGATTTTAGAGAAAGTGGAGGGGAAAAGAGAGAGAATCGTCTGTGTGAGACAGAAACATTGATTGGTTACCTCCTCCACATGCTCCAACCAGGGATTGGACCTGCGCCCTTTGGAATGTGGGTGACACCGCAGCCGATGAAGCCGCCCGGCCGGGGCTCTCGTATCACTCTTTACTGAGTGGATCAGGGCAGAGCAATATTCTGTGCATAACACAGACGGAGGCAGTTCTGGATAACACAAAATAACCCACCACGTAAAGCGTTCTTTTTAAACAGAGGGTACAACCTGGGGGGAATTTTGTGACTAGCCTTAAAACTAGAATGTGGCAGGAAGTATACATTTTGGTAAATGCAATGGTGTTGTTAGGGTATGACCTTGAGCACATTTCTCATCGGGAGTCATGGCAGAGAGAGGGCCTGGGCCGAGGCCACCAGCGCTGACCTGTCAGGCGTGACCTGGTTAGGGGTGGACTCCAGCGGCTGCTTATAGTGCTGTGGATCCTGGGAGGGTCTGAGGCCGGTCAGCATGGCTGCCTTTCACCACCATGAGCTCGCATCACGGCGTGGGCGGATTGACAAGAAGCTAAGTCCTGACTCAGGGCCTGTTCTGTTTCCTTCCTTGGGGGTGAGTGGGGGCTCTGAGGTGAGATGGTAGCTCACAGGAGGGCAGGCCCGGTGTCGGGGTGGGGTTTTACCTGCCAGTGCCAAGGCCTGAAGCATGTCCGGTAGGGGCTGGCAGGGCCTCAGGAGGGGCCCTGAGTAGTAAGGGACAGGCCGCTGTCCTACAGACCCAGACAAGCCTGGCAGAGCGGCTTGTGGTGGGGAGGTTCCAGGGAGTGTGTCCAGGTGCCGGTGGAAGCCCCAACCCACCTGGTGGTTACAGCCTGTGCACACGGTTGCCCGTGTCCAGTAGTGTTGTTTGAACACTGTCTGTCTCCATGAGCACGAGAGGCGCGTTCCCTTGTGCTCAGCGGGGGCCTTGTAAAGTGAGGGGCGGCCACAAAGCCTGCGCTGGAGGCCTTGCGCCCCCGCACTCACGGCTGTGCACCCTGCCCTCTCCCCCGGTCCCCGTGCAGATTCAACGCCTTCCACCCAGACACACGGAAGCCTATGCACAGGGAGTGTGGCTTCATCCGGCTGGAGCCCGACACCAACAAGGTGGCCTTCGTCAGTGCCCAGAACACAGGTACTCGCTACTGGCTGGCCAGGTGCCCCTGATGAGGCAGCCTTCGCCCACACACTCTCTCGGTCACTCCGGGGTCCCTGCTTGCTGTTCCTGGGGGTGCCTTTCAGGGTGGGAGCTGTCAGGTCAGGTGCATTGGGGCCAGCAGGTATAGTCCCCAGGAGGTGGGGGTGCTGTGGGAGTGTCCTGTGAGGATGGGCTGACTTATTTCTGCCCGAGTTCCTCTGGGGACAGCAGCTCCCAGCTCCCACCCCTGTGCTGCACGCGGGAGTTTTCTGTGGGGGAGAGCTAGAAAGGGCGGCTCACTGGCCCAGGTGAGTCTCACTCCCTGGAAGCAGGTGGATGATCAGGACCCGCCCAATCGGATCAGGAGTGGAGCTGCCCAGGGCGTCGGTGGGCTGGAAGTCAGAGGGCACCAGAGGGATATCCATTCCCCTGGCCACTCCTCCCTCCACTCAGACCCCAGGGACCTGCTGTGTGGGGGGCAGGGGCTTGGAGTCAGAGTATCTCTGACTCTGCAGGGCCACCGCTGTGGGTCACCTCCCCCAGGTATAAGAGGGCTTGTGTCTTTTCCCTCTGAATACCCAGGAGGGTCGCTGCAGGGAAGGGGGCCTTGTGGCCTTCATGGCTGCAGAGGCCAGCTCTGATGTACCTAGGGTGCAAAGGTGGTCGCAGGAGTGGAGCCACCGAGAGCCCAGGTCAGACCGAGGTGGCCTGACAGACAGACCCCCTTGCAGGCATCGTCGAGGTGGAGGAAGGCGAGGTGAACGGGCAGGAGCTACGCATCGCATCCCACTCCATCGCCAGGATCTCCTTCGCCAAGGAGCCCCACGTGCAACAGGTGAGCCCTTAACGCAGCCAGTCCTCCGAGACACTGTGCCACAGCACGCTTGTCCTTGGCAACAGGTCACTTGGCTGGCCTCCAGTCACTTCACTCACTTCCCTTATGCAACTGGCGCCCCTCTAGCTGTTGCCCGGGCGCCTGTTCCTGGAGAGGGTGGGCTTGCGTATGTTGTGGGACAGCGCCGGCCCTTTAAATGGACTCTTCTGAGAGACCGCAGTTTCTTCTGCCCCCCAACCTCCACCGGTTTTTACAGCCAGAAGTTACAAAGCTTTACTTTCCTGGTGCTGGAACCCTGGGCTGTGCAGTCTGGCCTGGGGCTGGCACCACTCGCTTCTCCAGGTGTCCCCGACTTCTGTCCACCACACGTGCATGTGGGATCACGTCACTACTTCCCTGCTGTGTCCTCCACCCCTCCTACCTGACTGGGTTAATGTGGCTTCTGTAAATGTTTGGTTGTCAGACTTCCATACCGTTTGGTTTTCTGGCAGTTCTAGGTGTTTTCTGTTTTGGGGTTGGTTGTGATCCTTCTTATGGTTGTGCAAAGAGGTGAAGCATGTCTGCCCACACCTCCATCTTGACCAGAAGTCTTATTTGTGTTTTAAATTTAACTCATGAGTGAGAGGGAACTGTTGGTATTTCTTGTTCTGTGTACGTGATGTTCAAAGTCATTGCCTATTTCTCTATGGGCTTTCATTTTCTTGCCGGTTTATGGGAGCTATTACAATAGACTACTGGGTAGTAATCTATTGTCAGCTGTACATGTGACAGTTGTTTCCCTATTTGGTGGCTTATGTGTGTGCCACCCACAAAGTGTAAGCTCTTCAGTAGCTGCCCCTGGGGGTCTTGGCCTTTGGGGTGTGTGGTTCATGCTCAGGGATGCGTTTTGTCCAACAGCATCAGATGCTGTTCCTCTGTTGTCTTGTGCTGGGGGAGCTTTTCCCCTTCAGATCTGTTTTCACAGGATGCGACGCGTGTCTCTGACTCTCCCCAGATGGGTGACCAGTGGCCCCACAGGTTTGACACGTTGCGCCCGACAAGCCACATCCCCAGAAATAGAGGGAGTGTCCTGTTCCTTTTCATCTACTTCTTCATTAAAAATGTAAAACCATCTAAAAATTTAAGGTTATCATACCCGTGTGTTCCACTTTTATGTCTAGGGAAGTTCTTGATCCTTTTCTCTAAATTTCCCGTGTTAATTCTTAAGCATCTCCTCATCTGGATGAACTGCCGACTGAGCTTGTCCAGGAGCCCAGAGTGCATGTCGGGACTGTGTGAACACACGAGTTAATGGGGAGCATTGGCATCTCTCCACTGGTGGTGGCACCGGCCGCGTGGGCAGTGTCGCATGGTTCCGGGTCTTGTTTGGCGTGTTGTTTGGTAGATACCAACGTTTATTTCTTTGGTAAGGTAAAGCCTTAGGGCTGTGTGGTTTTTGTTGCTATGTGTGTAAAATGTTTCCATCTCATCTTCTGATTGGCTGGCGGTGGTTATGGGAAAACTTCTGGTTTCTGTGTTTTCCGTGTGTGTCTGTGGACTTGGCCATGCCTGCTAGTTTCTGTCTACTGTGTCTCTCTGCGGCACCCCAGGAGCCAGTGCCACGGTCATGTGGTGCTGCCATGTCTCCACGCTATAGGGTGACCCGTCTGAGTCTGGCTCGCTTTGCTCAGCGGAACACCCTCCAGCATCATGCCTGCCGTGTCGCCTGTGTCCGAACCTCCTTCCTCTCCGAGGCCGAGGCAGGCTCCCTCGTGTGCAGGGACCACACTGCTCATCCGTCCGTCCCTCCGTCCGTCTGTGGACACTGGGTGCCTCCGTGTTGTCGCTGTTGTTTCTGATGCTGCTGTGAAGGAGGGCGAGCAGGTGGCCCGTGCAGACCCTGGTTTCCGCTCCTCTGGTCTGTGTCCAGGAGCGGAATTGCTGGGCCGTCTGGCGGTTCTGTTGAATTTTTAGGGCCGTCCGTCCCGGGTTCCGCAGCAGCCGCCCCATTGTCCATTCCAGTCGCTGTGCGCAGGGTCCCTGCATCCTTGCGGGCAGTGGGTGTTTTCTGGGGTGTGGATGGCAGCCACCCCAATAGGTGAGGTGGTCTCATTGGGCAAGGTTTGCGTTTCCTGGGTGGTCAGTGCTGGGCGCACCTTGTCCTGGGCAGGGGGCCAGTCGTGTGTCCTCTGTGGGGCGGCGTCCGCCCCGGTCCTCGGCCCGCGTTTGAATGAGGCTGTTTTTTGCTGTTGTGAGAGTTTTTTGTGTATTCTGGAATTAATTTTATGATTGGCAAGTATTTTATCTCATTCTGTCTGCTGCCTTTTGTCCTCGTTGACAGTGCCTTCGGACGCACACGTTTAAAAATATTCACGAAGGCCCGGCGCGTCTGTCTCTTCCGTGGCTGGCTCTGTGTTTGGAATTACAGCTGAGGGGGTGTCACCAGGTCCATGGCAGATGGAGCTTTTGTCCCATGTTTTCTCCTGAGAGCTTTTAAATTCAAGTCTCTGATCTGTTTTTAGTTACTTCTTTGTGCTGTCAGATGAGAGTCCAGCTTCGTTCTGCCTGCGAGTCTGCTGGCTTCCCAGCACCATGTGTTGAAAAGACTGTCCTTCCCCATTGAATGGTCTCGACCCCCTTGATGCAAACCAGTCAGGCCCGCCAGGAATGCCTTAAAAATAAGGATCGTCTCCATCTGATTACACAGCAGAGCCAGCCTGGGGTCCTGAGTGCAGAACGGGAGCTGGAGGGCCGAGGGCCTGCAGCCTGAACAGCCCTCGGTCTCTCGCTGCCACCGCAGGTCAGAGAGTCGCCTGTCTTCCTCAGCCACGTTGGGCCTGCGCTGCCAGCCGTGGCTGGGTCCCTGTGGCCACAGCCTTCCAGTCATTGCTCGTCGCAGTTTTTAAACACTGTGTTGATTGCTCCGCCCAGGAATCTCAGAAATGCCCTGTTGTTAATATATTGAAGCCACACTTGAAGCAAACTACCTGCTCATCACTCATACCAAGTTCTCGCCCTTGAACGTGCCAGTGAGTCCCAGGTGTTGGGGGACAGGGGATGACCTTCCTGGGCTTCCAGAGGCTCGGAGCTGCGCTTCCTGAGGTTTGGGGCCCCTCTGTGGGGCCTCTGCAGAGCGTGGGCTCACAGCAGCTGGAGCGGGCTCTGCCCTGCAGTCGGCAAGGCCAGCTTGGGCTTCCAGTCCCCCTATTGGAACGAGGACCACCAGCCTGTGGCTCTGGGGGACCCTGGAGGACCTGATGCCCACAGTTCCTCTAGACCCCACAGGGCTGCTGGCCACACCAGAGGCCGTGGGCACGCGGAGGCCTGCTGAGCCTCAGCCATGCAGTGTACATCTGCCCCAGCTTTAAACATTTCCAGATAACTCCAGTTCGAAGAGGAGAATAGCATGAGAAAGTTTGAGAGGCTACAGAGCCCCAAGGACCTGACAGGCGGCCCTTGGAGAGGCTGGGCATGGTGGTGAGCAAGCCACTTCAGCAGCCGACCGTCCTCCCAGGGATGAGGGGACAGCCCTCCAGAGGCCACTCCCTGAGTGCACACCTGGGGTGGTGGACACAGGGCAGCCCTGCCCCACTCTTCCCAGCATGGCCTCGTTCCTGGGACCTGGGCAGAGGCCTCAGGGTCTCTGCCATAGTGACCTCTCCCCACTGTCTCCCTGTCTTACTCACCTGCTTCTTACTGCCTAGTTGCTTATTCTGGAACAAGATGGCTGACTTGGGTGTTCACAGGTTTTGGCCCAGTGGGTGGAACTGAAGGCTGAGGGGCAGGCGCCCTGGGGTTCCTGGGCAAACACGCATGTGGTGCATCCAGAAGCTGCTCCAGCAGTGCAGGCAGGGCGCGACTTGGCAGCTGACGGAGCCCTGCCAGGTCTCTCCCCTGCACCCCCTTCTCTCCGGGACCGCAGTCCTTGCAGCCTGGGTGACTCTCTGGGCCTCTTAGTCGACCATCTAAACTCAGGCTTTTTCTCTCCTGGGGTCAGTTACAAAGCGGTTGGCTGCAGCCCAAAGCAACACTCCTACTGCATGTGCTTCTGCAGCCCCCAGAAAGTTTCGGGGTGTTGGAAAGAGTGCCGGGCCGAGCCATCCCAGCCGCTGTGGCGCTTCCTCGCTCCTTTCGCAGATGCCCCAGGCTTTCTCACGGCACCCGCTGCGGGCGTCCTCACGGCAGACTGCCACCACCGTTGGTCCCCCCAGCCCCGCTGTGGAGTCTTCCAAGAACCCGTGCGACATTAGCTGTAGAGTGACGTGGGAAGGTCCCCTCTTGTCCGATAAGAGTGTGATTTACAGAAAGAAGAAGGTAGCTTCTTAATACCCTGAGATGGGGAGGACAGAGTCACGCAGAGTCACCGTGCATCTGTTGGTCTTCTGGGCACAGCCAGGGGGCAGGGAGAGGCGCAGTCAGGGCTCCTGGCACCTGGGTCTTGGCCCGAGTCACAGCTCTGTGGGCAGAGTGTCTGTCATTGGGCTCACTGCTAAGGTGACTCTGCTGGAACACTTGGCCTGTGGCAGGACCTCAAGCCTTTGTTGAATCCTTAGAAGATAAAACTAAGGTGTTTGTATTTGTTTTGTTCTGCTCAGATTACCCGAAAATTCAGGCTGAATTCTGAAGGCAAACTTGAACAGACGGTCTCCATGGCAACCACTACCCAGCCCATGACTCAGCATCTTCACATCACCTACAAGAAGGTGACCCCATGACCCAGAGCAGAGCTTCCTCCCGGCCGTGTGTGTCGTGGTGCGACCCCAGCCCCTCACAGACGCCGTAGCAGCAGGTGTGGGTGTGGCCGCAGGTCCCGTGGGCTCCAGGGTGTTGCCCATGTCCCTGTAACAGCATAGAAAAACCAAATAAAAGGCCTTTATTTTTATGGCTGAGCATTTTGATGTTACCATGTGTGCAGACTGTCTGTCTCCTCTGCTGGGGACTGTTTTCCAGAGTCTTCTGAAAACACTAAGAAGGGGTGACTTTTCCTCTCTCTTCTTCTTGCATTTTTGACAAGATCTGAAACACAAACCTTAGGTAGAGTGGTCACTGACAGGCAGAAGACAAAGACGTGACAGAAAGGGTTGCCTGACGTGATTTCTGAGGAGCTGAAGGGGCCCAGGGACCCCGTTTCTGTAGGACCAAGGATGAGGTGAGAGGATAGCTGTGACCTCAGCATCAGTGACACTGTTTTGCTCTCTGCTGTCAACTGCGAGTTTGCAGACGTGCAGGGACCCTGTCGGCTGCCCTTACCCTGTCAGCCTTTCCAGCCCAGTGGTCCCTCTGTTCTTCCCCCTTCTTTTTGCTGGAGTATTTTTAAGCAAATTCCAGACATAAAGTCATTTACCCCTCAGTGCTTCAGTCAGATTTAAAAACAAAGCCTTTTATTTTCTCAGTACATGAGGGTGTCAGAAGCCACACTGGGGACACGGGCCTGATGTGGAAGGAGGCGCTCACACTGCAGGGGGGCCTGTCCGGGAACAAAGGCCTCGGCGGAGGGCCCCTGGCAGCTCCAGGGGACACTCTGGTGCTGGGGCGCAAGACCGCTCGTGCTGGGCCCCCCCCCCGCAGCAGATCAGGGACAGGACACCCTGGGACGGTTGGCCCTGAGCCACAGCCCCTCCCACCTGCAAAACCGGACAAGGACGCGCCTCGAAAAGGTGGTGGCGGGACAGGCACAGGTGGATGTCCCCGCCACAAAGGAGAGATGGCAGGAGTCAACAGGTCCTGAGCAGGACCAAAACCACAAGCTGCAGGACAGCCCTCTCTGGGGGAGGTCCCTTCTGGCCACGCGCATACCAGGGCCTCTGCCTGCCTGGGGTCGCCCTCACAGGGGCGCTCTGTGGCAGCCTCCCCGGTGCAGAGCCTGGGTTTCTGCCTGGGTCGTGCGCCCCGGGGCCCCCGTGACTCGTGCACATGCCGCCAGTGTGCGTGCACATGGCCCCCAATAGGGGGCTCTGGGGGGTGGGGCAGGCGCTTTTGCTCCGGACTGTTGAGAGGGTGGCCGTGCTCTGAAGTGCCTCCCGTCACCTCCTGGTCTCACTGTGGCCCCAGCTTCACTGAGGTGACCGGCCAGTACTCATCTGATCCCGACAAGCTTCCTCACTGCTGTCAAAGTCAGTAGGCTGAGAGAATTTTCTAGATTTCTAAGGTCTGCTTCCTTTTGGATGAACGATCCTGCGGGTCATTGCTCTGCCCTTGCTTGGTCTTGTGCGTGTCCGAGAGAAATCGGGCTGCTCCTTCAGCTCAGCTCAGAAATCTGCTGCCAGAGACTCAGCTTCCTGCCTCACAGGTCCCCCCGTCCACGGGCCCAAGGACACTGGAGCCCAGCGCTGCGCCACTTCTTAGCACTGTCGCCCTCCCTCTGGCTGCCCAGAGCCTGGCCCGCGTTGCCGTCCGAGATGTCATCAGAATGGCCTTTACCGTCCCGGGTCTCCAGCACATGCTCCCGGCAGCTCAGGGTTCTCTAACAGACGCAGGCTTTTCCTCTGGGCACCAGAATCGCCCGGGACTGTCTCCTTGTGCGATGTAGGCTTTCTGTGGCATGTACCTCAAAACTCTTCCCACCCGAATCCCCCGGCATCAGTGCCAAAGCCACTTCCATACCTTAGATGTGTGTGACAGCAGCGCCCCACTTTCCAGTAACAGCTTCCGGCGCCATCCGTCCAAGACAGAAACACCACAGGCAGCCGAGGGCTCACAAACAACAAACTGACTTCTCAGAGCCCAGGAGGCGGAGAAGCCCAAGCTCGTGGCACCACCCGCCCTCTGAGCTGGTCTTTGCACACCCTCACTGCCCTGCAGTGTGGTGGGGCACTTGCTGGGGTGTGTTGCAGGGCACCAGTTGGTCTCAAGTGTGGAGCCGTTCACCCCAGCTCCTCACACCAGCATCTGGGGGCATAGGAGGTCAAGGTATGAATCTGGGGAAACACGTTCAGACCACAGCACAGGGGACCTGGAGGCTGGAAGGACCTGGGAGCGGCGAGGAAGCCCCACCCCTGCACCCGCCCCTCTCTACCAGCCCCCGCGTCCCACCCCTGCACTGAGCTGCAAGGCACACTGGGAGGGCAGCACCCAAAGCAGAACCAGCAACTGACTAGCCATCTGGTGGTCCTCTTCCCCCCAACTCCTGCCGTGGACAAGTCAGGAAGCTGGTCCCTCCTCCTGGGGTGCATCCCCAGGTTCACTGAGTTTCCCGTCCTGACATGTGCCCTGACCCCTCTGTTTCCTGTGGTCTGGAAGCTGGATGGAAAGTTCCAGTCAGACACAGTCCCTGAAGCTACCCGTCCTCACAGCCTGCTTGCCTCCCTTTGCTAAAGCTCAAGTTCACAGACTTGGATGGGGACAGCCTTTCCCGTGAAAGCTTTGCCCGCACGGTGCCTCCACTCTCGTCGGGCTGGGTCTCTCCGGAGAACTTCCCTGCACCCGTCAGGCTGAGTCTGGTTTCCCTGAAATGTTCGCAACAGAAAGCCAGCCAAAAAGCGAAACTTTGAATTGTCCATGAAAGAAACACTTGAATGTGTAAGAAGCCCTAATAAGAATGTGAGCCAACACTCATGACACACCCAGAGGTGAGATCTCAACGGACTGAAAGGAGGCTGCAGGAACAGGGCTTCCACAGTTGTGCTCACATATTTAGCCTCAAAGGAAGAGATCTGAGGAGGGTCACCGAAGTCCTGGGGCAGAGGGAGGAGGCCGGGCGGCGCCAGGCCCGGAGGGCGAGGAGAGGGGGAGGGCTGCCCTTGGAGGTGCGGGTGGCTGACACTGAGCAGCAGTGAGCAGGGACTGCATGCAGCAACAAGACGGGCTTCCGCGTGGGCCTGCTCTGAGGTCTGGAAGTGAAAGTCATGCTCCCCAGATGCCACCCCAGATGCAGGAGAGCAGCGGTGGACAGGGCTCGCTCGGGGAAGACAGACCTGCCACTGCGGGAGCTGTGGGCCTGGGATGCACCGCCACGGTGACCCGCCCAGGCGGGGCCTCCTGGGTGGCTTCTGTCACTCACGGGGCTCGTCGGGTCCCCACGGCCCCCTCTTCCCTGTGACCGTCAACTGTTAGATGTCCAGCCCTGGAGCTGGCCCTTCCATCCCACACCACCCTTCAGCTCCCTGCTGCTCCTAGGACCCGGGACCTGGGCACATTTGGTGGAATTCTGGTCCTGTGCAGCCTGTTCCTCTCTCACAGATGGGGGTGGGGGGTGCTCCAGTGCACTCACATCTGGCCTTACAGAGCGCCCCCAGTCACCCCCAGTCGCCCCCAGTCACCCCCAGTGGCGATGGCTCTGAGCTCCAGCATCACCACTGCCCGAGCCTGCTTTTTACGTTGGGATGGGGCTCTGAGGCCACAGGCAGCTGCTCTGCTGGGGCTGCCAGTCCTTCTCCGCGGACAGAGCCCAAAAGTCATCTCATAACCGACTACTGTCCCAAGCCATGTGGGTTAAGGTGAGGGGTCACGGCCCTCCCCCGGGGGCAGACACACTTCTGAAGGAAAAAAAAATGTGTGTGTCCAGTTTCCCATTTGAATTTTAAGATCATAATTTTTTTACTTAAATTTTTTTCATTGTACATCTTTTAAGATGAAAACCTGGGTTCTTTAGAATGTTAAGGTTATTTGCTTTACTCCACAGGACACAATTATTTCAGGTTAATGACAGTCTTATTAACAGTAACATTATTGATTAAAGTTTGACTATTTGTACTGTTTGTGTGCCTTTCTCATTAAGGACGTGGTTATTGAAATAGTACTGGGGATAACCAGCTTCTGCATGGACAAGCTCATTCCCTTCAACTTGTACAAATGGAGTGTTCTCTCAGATCAGCTTGGCTTGTGGGAAGCGCCCCACGGAACTGCATGCAAAGGCACGTTCTGCCCGGGCCGTGCCCAGGTCCGTGCGGGGTGTCCCCTGGAAGCCGCCACCTCGCACCCACCCAGCAGGCCGCCTCCTGCCGAGCGTGCATTCTGTCCACTCTTGTGCTCACAGAACGTCACGGCGGAGAGGCCGGTTCTGCACTTCTGCTTGTGTGTCTTCGGGATGGATGTTCAGAAGGGAGACTGGCCACCACAGGGTAAAAGTGCACCTGTCGTGCCCCTTGGGATGCGGGCTGCTGCCTGCTCCCCGCCCCCAGCGGTCTGTTGTCGCACCTGGACTTGGGCCAGTCTGGTCCACAAGCCATGGGGTCTTGGGCTAAGTCTGGTTTCCATTTCTTTTCTATTGTCTTTTTCTCCCGGACTTTTTGGAGCTGCTTAGCTCTTTTGAATTAGAAATATCAATCCTAATATTATTCCTAATTTAGATGATAATTTTTATTGAGATAAAACGCAGTTATGACAGTTTGTCATTTTTAAGTACCCAAATATATACAGTGCAGTGTCGTATTTCGTGTGTTCAGTGTCGTGCAGCCATTACCGGTCCACTTCCCGAGCCCTCCGTCAACCAAAAGGAAGCCCCGCCCCCTCGGCCCGCTGGTGCCGCCCAAGTCGGTTGGAGCGTCGTCCCTACGCCACAGGGTTGGGGGTCTGATTCCAGGTCAGGGCCGGTGCCTAGGTGACGGGACCGGTCCTGCCCGTGGCGCAGGCCAACCGCGTTTCCCCGCCTCCCTTCCCCTCTCTCAGCTTATCCACGAGTGAGGATAAAAATAACAATAAAAATAAGGAAAACCCTGAACCCACCCGTTAGACAGTAAATGTTATAAATCCTCTTCCCAGTATATATTCTGCCTTTTATTGTTCCTGGATTTTAAATCTTATTTGGGAAGGTTTTGCCCACTCCTTAGTTCCAAAGAAATTCACTCATTTTGTTGTTTCGTGTTTTTATATGTAGCTCTTTGGTGCTTTTTGAATTTGTCTGGTGTACCGTTGGATGTATGGTCCTGACTTAGTTTTTTTCGAGTGGCTCACGGAGTGTCCGTGTGTGGTGACAAGCCCACCCGTGTCCCACTGCCACCGTCCTCAACGTGCGGTGCTCTCGGGTCAGGCCTGGTCCTGGACATCGTGCCCCTGCTTGTCTGCAGCGGCCTGGGGCCTGGTGCTGACGGTTGGTCGGTCCAGGCATCTCGTCCCAAACCCTTCCTCGTTCCTCTTCTTCGTATGGGTTTTTCCAGCTGTTTTTGCTTTTTCGGTTCTCTCCCGTGAACTTTAGCTTGTTTAGATCCAGGAAAATGAATCCTGGTATTTTTGGAAGGATCACACGGAATGTCTGGACTTCTGGGAACCATCTCCCATGCAGGTTTTCCCATCTCGGAGCTGGCCCTGCTGCTCGTCCCGACTTCTCCCCCTGGACGGCTTCACATTCTCGTCTGGTTCACACTTCGAACTTGATGCTGCTGCTGCTGTTGAAATGGGGCGTGTCCCCTGTGGTACCTTCTTCCTGTGTGCACGTGCTCATGCCCCACTGCTCTTCAGGGTGTTTGGGGTCTGGCACACCCCTTCGTACGCTGGAAATACCTAAGCACTTGATCCAAGAGGATGGGCTGCCCCCATTTCTCCATCCCTTTCTCCCCACCTGCCACCCCTCGCACTGTGAGAACCCTGGGAAGGGGTGGCCAGCAGAGGCTGGGAGGACCCCTGTGGGGCCAGGAGTGGGTGATGGGAGGGCTGAGGGGAGCTGCACCATGAGGACCCTTGCTTCACCCAGAAGCTACATGGGAGGCAGGGCTCGACCTTGGAGGTTGTCTGGCTCGGTCTTGCCTCATACAGACAGGGAAACGGAGGCCACGTCACAGTCCTCTGTGCTGTGCTCCTGTGGCCTGACCTGGAGTCGGATGGGCTGCAGGAACAGACAGACCAGAGCTGGGCTCGTGGCGGAGGGGCAGCCTATGCGGAGAGAACGGGCTGTCGCCCAAGCAAAGGGATAGGAATGGCCAGGATGGACAGGCACCCGGCTCACTCACCTGTGCCAGCGTGCGTGAGTGTGTGCGCCTGGGAGTGTAAATGTGCACTCCTGCTGTGGCTCCCAGGAGCTGAGGGCAGACAATGACGGATGTGCCCGCCTCCAGTCTGGTCCCAGCAGTGGCACCAGGAACCCAGGTGGTCGCCCTCAGTGGCCGTTACACTTTATTGGACTCAGACACACACCCTGTCCTTGTTGGTCAGGGCCGGTGCCCTCCCAGGTCCTTGTGCCACCCAGGACTCGGCCACAGGCAAGGACACTGTCCCAGCGACGGCCTGTGAGCCTGTGCCGGTCTCTGGGGCCAGTGAGGCTTCACGGCTCCTCTGGCCTCGGCAGGCCCAGCCGCCTCCTGGCTCAGGTCCTGACATGGTCCCCCTTTTCGGACGGGACCCTGGCATCCAATGGGGGCTTGGTGCTCCCAGCTGCCTTCCTTTGGGCCTGGGAGGCAGCCCAGACCTTGTGGGGTGCATGGGGCAGGGGCACGGGGCGGCGCTGCCGGCCAGCTCCGGGCATTCCTGAGGGCCTGGGTGAGCACAGGAGGGACTCAGGGGGAGGAGGGCGGTCCTTCAGCCGAGGGCCGAAGGGTCCAGGACCGGGGCTCATCTGTCGGACAGCAGCACGAAGAAGGCAGCCTTCAGGAAGCGGCCGAAGCCGCAGAGTGCGGCCACGAGCCAGTGGGAGCGGAAGCCCGGTTCGCTGCTGACCACGCACTTGAGGACGTCGGTCTGGAGAGAGGAGGGACAGTTAGCAGTGCTGGGCAGCTGAGGCCCAGCATCTTCCACCCCTGGCAGGAGTTGACAGGACGCATGCAGCCACTCAGGGAAGGTCTCAGGGCAGCACAGAGGCCTCAGGGTCTTTGCAGGGGGGTCGGAGTGGGGCACACCCCTCGGCTTCAGCCACAGCAGAGGACTGAGCTCGGCGCTGCTGCCAGAAGCCCCACACACTCTTCCCACCCCCACCTTTCGGGGAAGACGGATCTCCTCTGGTGGAGATGGCCCTACGGGGCCAGCAGCCCCCACGGTCTGGCTGGGCAGGGTGGGCAGCTGGGGGCATGAAGACAGTGTTGGGGCAGGACTGACACCATGGCTCAGTGGGTGCAGGAGCCGGTGGGGAGGGCAGGGCAGGGCTGGGGCTCAGGGCCCCTGGTCTTTGGTTCCAGAGTTGCTGGCGATACAGGGCGGGGCGGGAGGGGCGGGACCTAGCAGCTTACCCCTCTGCCCACTCTGGCCCCGCCCACTCTGGCCCCGCCCCCAGCCCCACTCACCCATCCGCCCTGTCTGCGCAGCCAGGTCGCCAGGGTCTTGCGCACGAACTCCCCCAGGCAGTCGACCAGGGCGTGGACCAAGGCCGGCTGCGCCTGCCGCACACAGTCCGCGGCCAGCCCGGCGGCCACCAAGTACAGGGACACCACCTTGCCCCACGTGATGCCTGCGGGAGGGAGGGGACACCGTTCAGCAGCCACCGCCCAAACCACTCCCATCCAACTCGGGGTCACGGCAGGAGACTAAGCCTCCTCCTCTGCTTCCAGAGGGGGGGGGCAAAACTCATGGGGCCGTGCCGCCCGAATCTCCCCCTGAGCAGGGTGCCCGGCCGTCACCTGCAGTAGATCAGCCCTGCCCGCCCTCAGGGGTGGCTCTCAGGCAGAGATTTCTGGGGCCTCCACCACACACCTGCGCACCTGCCCAGCTCCCAGCTCCGGGAGGAGGCGGTTGGCCAGAAGGAGACTGGGGGGCTGACTGACTCGGAGCTGGACACAGTGCACAGTTAGCAGCTTCCAGGTGCCGCTGCCCAGCTGTCTGTCCCCTCCGCTGCCCTGTGGGGCAGCAGGACATTCCACAGCATAAAGGGCCTACCGAGACCCCCCAGCTGCAGGCGGCCACTGCAGAGCTGGGAGGAGCCACCCACATGGTACGAATTCCCCTTGGTACATCAAAAGACTTCCTAATCTAGACCGATGAGGAAAAAGTAAAACCTTTCCAAAGAAACGAGCACAGAACAGGAACGGCTGATTCACAAAGGGGAGAAATAGAAACAATACATTAGACATGAAAAACGCGCCCTGAAAACCAAACGGCATGCTGAGACGGGACACAGGTGGGCACCCCAAACGGCTCCAGGAGCCTCAGGGAGCTGCCCCTCCTCACTGACAGGACAGCCACCCGAGAAAAAACAGGAGGCCGAGTGAGCCTCTTCGGGCCCCTTGCCAGGCAGCCCTGCCACGGTGGGCACAGGCGCCTCTCCGCCCGTCCCCCCGCTGGGCAGGCGGGGGCGGCCTCTCTGTCCTGGTCCTCGGCCGCGGTGCCTGCACACGCACGATGCCAGGCCGCTGCCTCCCTGTGCACCCCCGGTCACCAGGAGGCCAGGGCTGCCTTCTCGCAGATGGATTTCCTTTTAAAGCCTCGGGCTCATAAACCAGCTGCCTGACGGCCCGGAGACACACACAGGCGGCCACCCACACGCCAGCATCAGGCCTGGGGACGTGGGAGTCCAGGAACTGCCACGGGCAGGCATCAGCCAGGACACCGCCTACCACCTCCTCCACAAGGGGCCGGAGGGTCACAGCCCCTCCCCCCAGGCCTCTCCAGGACCTGGGCCAGCACCGGCAGAGCGTTCTGGAGGAGCCCACCTCAGCCCCTGCCCACACAGGCACCCCCTCAGGACGTCTTTGCCATGGCAACTTCTGCCCCAGGCGGGCAGTGCTGGCCCACTGGGTGGTGGCCGTGCAGAAGGCTGGATTCTACAGCTCGCAGCCCTGTGTCCTGCCACCGCACTGGCCACGACCAAGAGGCCTCCTGACACAGGCCCTGCTCTGTCCCCCATTGTCTGTGGGTGAGGAGCCCGAGCCCCACAGGCCACGTGCAGGACGCCCAGCCCCACTCTGGCCATCAGCCACTGTCCAACCAGGACCACAGGAGGCTCTGTGCCAGCTGCCCGGCACACCCCCAGCATGCCACGGGACCGTGGACGCCCCGGAGTGGACACCCGGACCTACCTGCAACGAAGATCTGGGCGGCCACAGCCAGAAAGGCTTCAGTCACTGCGCTCTCAGACTGCAGGGAGAGGCTCAGCTGGCGGGCCACGTTGCGATAGATGCTGGGCCGAATCAGCTCCAGCTCGTCCCCTGCAGGCACAGGGCAGGTCAGAGGGGCCCACGCCTGCCTGACCCCAGCCCCGGTCCCACAGGCCTGGGACCAGCCCACTGCACAGCCCCACCACCCCAGCTGGCTTGCAGACCCTGCCTGCACTAACTGGCCTATAACCTGACCCCACCTGACCCGCCATGGTCCCTGAGGACAAGGAGACCAGAGAGGTGTGGTGGGCACCCCCAGACCTGCCTCTGCTCCCCGCCCCTCATGACGAGGGCGCCCTCCCACCCAGGGGCAAGCCGGCTGGGCCGGTGGGGCGGGAATCCCGGGAGCAGCCTGGGCCGTGCCTGATGGGTGACTCACGGCCCACAGCGAGCTGCCCGGGCGGCAGGCGGACGGGGAAGGCGGCCAGACCCAACATGGGCAGGACTGCAACCCACAGGGGTGGGCAACCCTGGCCGCAGCCTCGCTCACGCCCCAGCACTGCTTGGTGACAGAGTGACGTAGCCGTTGTCTCGGGTCCTGGCACTGCCCAGGCTCCAACCTGTGCCCTGTGCCAAGAGGGTGTGTGCACAGGGCGGCCACCCTGAGGGGACAGGCCCTGTCACGGGCCCTGCCAGAGGCCTGTGCTCCCTGCGGTGCCCTGGCAGTAAGGGCTTGGTGTCCCCCAGCCCTGCCACCTCTCCAGCCAAAGCAAGCAGGGAAATGCCGACTGGACAGTCCTGGCTGATAAGGGCGCCTGCGGCATCCCCGGGGCCAGCTGTGACCCGGAGCAGAGCGGAACTGAGGCGCGGCAGCGGGGTGCTGAGGGGGCCTGGAAATTCCCAGGGCTGGCCTGGCTGTTCCCACACAGACCTCGGGGGCTGCTGGGGACTGGCCCCGAGAGACTGACCGGGACGTGACCTGCTTCTTCCTGTGCGTGCTGTCCCCGGAGCCGGTTGTCTGCTGAGCAGGGGCTGGGCCGGGCTGGGGGCAGGGCGGCAGCACCAAGGCAGGGGACCAGAACTCCACGCTCGCTCTGGCAACCCAGGCCGCCTCCCTCCGGGGACCCTCGGCAACTGGCAGGGGCTGAACCTGGCCAGGCTGGGCCCTGGGAAAGGGCCTTGAGGGCCTGAGTTCTGAGAGGGCCAGTGCAGCTGCCCAGGCCCAGGCCAGAAGTGTTGGGGCTCTCATGTGGAGCGGAGGACTGAGGGGACAGACGCAGACCCATCAGGGACATCGGGCCCAGAGAGGAGGCGGCCCCAGGCCCCTGGTCACTTACTAGATGGAGCCTAGGGCCGGGCACAGAGCAGGCCAGGGTAGGCGGGCTTCCTTCTCCAGAAGGTGCCCCCCGGCGCCACCCCCACAGCCCAGCCGGAAGGAACAGCCATGGGCAGCTGACCTCGTGGGCACCCAGGGGCCCCGAACCACTGGCCGACCCCCAAACCCCAGTGCTCTCACACCCGGGAGCCTCCTCCTCCCTCTCCCGCATCCCTAAGGCGTCTGTGTCCATCACTCACACTCCCGGGGGCCACGCAGCACAGGGAGAAGCAGGCCCGGTGCCAGCCTCTCCCCGCACTCGGCCTGGACTGGACAGCTCAGGGCCCATCTGGTGCCTGCCCCCAGGACCACTAAGGCCCCCCGTCCCCATGGGGAGCTGGGCTGGCAGACCAGGCTGAGGGGTCCAGACCCCGGAGGAGGTGGAGACAGTTCTGGGCCGTGTGTGACCTCAGGAACAGGTCGGCACACCAGCCCTGTGGTGGTGTCCTGAGCACCCAGTTCTGCCAGGGGGCTCTGGGAGGCCCCCAAATCAAGAGGAAAGAGCAGCGGGGGTAGGATTTCAGCCAGTAATGGAAAGGGCCTATTTTCCAAAATAAACATCGGGGCACGTGGTCCGACAAAGGATTTTGTGTCCAGCTGGGTACAAGGGTCACTCTAGAAATTCAGCCACCACCACATTATTCTTCCCACAGCTTTCCGTCTGTTGTAGCCAGCGTGTTTGAAATCTGGGCTGAGCAGGCCAGTCTCCAGCGCTACACACAGGACTAGGAGGGAGGCGGGGTAGCTCTGCTTGGGTGGCCTGCCTTGCACTTCTGGCTCGCCCCCAGCTAGGCCCCTCTCTGCCCCACAGGGAGCCCGAGACCCGAAGTAGGGGTGCTAGCCAGGTCACCCTTGTACAGGCCGGAGCTGAGACAGCCAGACAGCCGTACCCTAAGGCGCAGCAGGGCCTGCCCAGCCGACCGGCTCAGGAGGGGCAGTCTGGGGACCCCGCCCTCCGGTGCCCACACTCACCCAAGCGCAGCAGCACGGTGCACACCTCTGCCAGGCGGCCGCCTGGGGCGGGAGGGACGCGCTCGGGCGCGCTCCAAACTAGGCCGGCGCGCAGCAGCCGCGCGTGCACGAACTCCCGGCCAAGCGCCTTAGCCTGAGCCACCAGCTCCTTGTCGGTGGGCGAGCGGTCAAAGGCGTCCATGATCTCCGCGGCGAAAACCGAGGAGCGCCGCAGCACCTCCATTGCAGGGACGCGGGCGAGGGGCGCCGCACCTGCGGGCAGACAGCGCTCAGCCTGGTCTACCCCGCCTCCCCGCCTGGCTGGCAGACGAGGAGATCGCGTCCGCGCGCCAAGCTGGGGCGCACGGAGAGACCGGGCCAGGCGCGGCTTCGGGGAAGGGCCGCGGCCAGCTGCGGACAACCATACGTTTATGTGACCCAAGTCTTTAGAAGCACGGAGTTACCTTCTTTTCGATTCTGGATTAAGTAACAAAGATCCCGCGCGGCTGCCCGGGAAGGAGTGTCGGGAAATAACGACTTGCCCTGGACCCGCCGTGCCCGCGCTCGAAGACGGGTGCGCGGAGGCGCGGGCGAGGGGCACAGCCCAATCTACTCCGAGCCAGCGGGGACCCTGGCCCGGCCCCACATTTCTGCGCCGCGACCTCCGCGCCGCGCGGTCCTCGGTGTTGGCCCCCCGCCAAGCCGTTCCCATGGCGCGGCTGCCAAGGGAGGGACGCCGGGCGCCCCGCTCACCTCTCCCGCCGCATGTCGCGGGCGCCGGGGCCGGGAAGGAGTTCTGGCTTCAGGATCTGCTCGCCGCCGTCTGCGCCGATCTCGATCCCTCGATTCAGATCCACGAGGACGCGCGCCCTGTGATCGTCTGCGCCCGGCGGCACCTCGAAGCGCGCGGGCTCCTCGGGCTCCGGCGGCGCCGTCGGGGGGCGCGGGGTGACTCTCCACTGGGGAGAGGCGAGGCTTGGGGCTTCGCCTTCTAAGGAAAAGGCAACCCCGGGGCGGAGCCGCGCCGGAGCTTCCCGCCGCCTCCCCGCCTCCCGGCTTAAGGAGGTCCGAGCGAGTTCCCGGTGTGCAGGGAGGGAAGCCCGGGCAAGCAGACCAGGACCTAGCCGGAGCAGCAGCCGCCTGGGTGCACACCCGGCTGCATCTTCTTACTGATTCCAAGAGGTTCCTTATATATTCTGAACGTGCGTTCCTCGTCTGATGCGTGGTTTGTGTCAGAGACGCGTCCACGCATTTGCATTGTGCCGAAGAGATTGTCAATACTCTCTGCCACTCTGTGGCCACTATTGCTGATAACCAACAGGAGTTACTGTCAGCCAATTTATCCGTCTTTTCTCTTACGGTTAGTGTTTTTCACATTGATATTCTGTGTTTTCTTTAGAAGTGTGATGGGCTCTTTTAGAAGTGTCTAGCATTCACGTGGGAATGGCCCACAGATGAAGTCCTGTGAGTGGTGTGGGAGGCGGGGCTTGGAGTCCCGGCACCCAGCACCACTCGTTGAAAAGACCGTCATTTTCCCACTGAATTGGAGAAGAGTCCCCATCGCAGGTCAAGTGATGCGCACGTGAGGACCTGCTCCAGACTCTTTTGTCCACTGGTCATGTCTCTACCCTTGAACCAACACAGCACAGTCAAGCAACAGGGCTGACCAGCTGGCCCCAACCCACACCTACGCAGCCAGAAGGACGCATATTCTTTCCCTACGTGCATAGGATGTCCAGCAAAATGAGCCACATCCTGGGCCGTAATGTTGCAACACATTTCAAAGGATTAAAATCATACAAGTGTGTTCTCTCTGAGTTCATTTAAAATGCAACGACGAGGAACAACTATAAAGGACACACAGACAAAACCGGGGGGCGTTGGGATCAGGGGAGGGAGGTGGGGATGGCTGGGGCGCGGGGGAGTGGTGGGGAGAAAAGGCAGACAACTGTACCTGGACAACAATAAAAGACAAACAAATAAAAATAAAACACAGTAACAGTAGAACTACTAGAAAGCCTCCAAGTAAACATCACACTTGTAAATAATCAATGGGTATGTTAGGAAGCCACAAGGGAAGTTGTAAAGTATCTTCAAGGGAACAGCAGTGAAAATATGACATTGAACGCTGTGGGATGCGGGTAAAGCCATGCTCAGAGGAAAATGCGTAGCTTCAGAAGAAAGGCTAAAATTAGCTCTGCTGGTGTGGCTCAGGCCTGTGTCTCTGCTGTGGACTGAGCACAGGCCTGTGAACCAAAGGGTCACTGGTTCAATTCCCAGTCAGGGCATGTGCCTGGGTTGTGGGCCAGGTCCCCAGTTTGGGGAGGGGACAACCTATGTATGTATCTCTTGCACATCGATGTTTCTTTCCCTTTTTCTCCTTCCCTTCCCCTCTCTCTAAAAATAAATAAAATCATTTAAAAAACAATAAAGAGAGCAGCCGGGCTTGGGGCTCCCTGTGTTTTATAGGTGGGAATACGGACGCTCCAAAAGAGAAGGGGACTCGCCCAAGGAGTGGCTGCGGGGCTGGGTGTGGCCAGGTGGTGGCCCCGAGCTGGGCCCGGGGCCGATGGAATGCGCCTCCGGCAGGGGAGGGACCTGCGCCTGTGCACCCTGGAAGCCCCACCCTCACGGTCTGTGGGAATCCTGGCCTCAGGGAACGTCCAGCCCCACTCACAGCCTCAGTGTCCTCCTGTACAACGAGATCTGGCTGTCTGCCCCCCACCCCGCATCCTGGGGCTCTTACCTTCTAGAGTGACAGATCAGGGCCCCCTCAGTGCGGGGCTGCCCTGCCTGGACCCAGCGACGCCCTCCTAGACGTTCCAGATCAGAGAGAGCCATGTCTCGGGATATTCCCTGTGAATGTCGAGGGCAGGGAGGAACCGCTCAGGACCCCAGTGCTTCTTGGCCTGTGGGGGGGGGGGCGGGGCGGGGATTGGGGGGTCATTAAACCTGTCTTGAGCTCCGGAACCACAACTATTATCCAAACCTGTGACAGCCCAGGCCGTGCTGCAGTCAGTGGAGGTCTTCCTGCGTCTGGAGGCCTGGAGGCGGCAGGCCTACTGGTGCTGCTTGGACCTTGCTCCAGGCACGTTGGGCCTGGTTTTCCGCCTTGTGGGATTCTTGCTCTCCAGCCTTATCTTGTGTCTGACCCTTCTGTGGAGCCCCAGTGATTACTGAAGAGCCCTCTGAGCGCCCAGGGCCCAAACCGGCTTGAGCACAGGGAGGGGTGTGGAATCGCATGACTGACCTGTCCCAGGAGAGGCTCTGGTTTCAGGCATGGCTGGATCCAGTAGTCTCGCTCCATCTGCAGGTCTGTCTGTGAGTCCTCATGCTGGCTTTGCACTCGGGCAGCTTGTCCCCAGGTGATTGCAGACCAGCACCTACACCCACCCCTCAGACTTTCCCAGTGGAAAAAAAGCCACTCTCTAGGTAACTCCCAGGGGCGCCTGGCGGCCGGCAGCTTCTCCCCTGTGCCCACTGCTGAACCAGCTGCGGCTGGAAGTGGAGAAGGGGCTCCGGCTGCCAGGCCTGGTCACAAAGCCCACCCTGGACGGGGCCCGTGGGCCCATCTGCAAGGATGAGGGTGGGAGGTGACGATGAAGGGTTCCTGGCTTGCTGGGAAAACCTGCTCAAGGCTATTGTGTGGGTCACAGTTTGGGGGGGCAGAGGGGCCCACAGCCTAGGGAGGCCAGTTTTCTGTGTAAAGTGAGCGGCAGTTTTACCTCGGATGTGGTTGGGTGGTCCCAGTCTGGACCCGCTATGGCCATTCAGGGGGACAGTCACATGCAGGGCAGTACCCGTCACCACGCCTCAGGAGAGCTGTGAGGGGCAGAGGCCGCCGGCAGGGGCCCCGGGGTGGGTGCTCTGCTCCTGAAGCTGGGTGGCCCTTCCCCACTGTTCCCGCAGGGACGGGACCTTGTGGGGGGGACAAGGTGGGTGACAAGGCAGCACCTGGGAGCTTTCTGGGGCAGAGACCTGGGGGACTGTGGGCCCCACCTGCTCGGGCCACTCCCCGGGCCAGCCCTTTCGGTGTAGTTTTTGCCTGAAGCTCATCCTTCTTCAGGAGGGATTGGAGTTCGGACCGGAGGGTTTTGTATCGTTTCAGCTGAGTGCTTGATAAGCTGGGAGCCCACAGACCTGGAGGGCAGTGCGGCCAGGCAGAGCACCACCCCACGCACCTCCCCTCCTCCTTCTCACCCCAGAGGGGCCTGGAAGGGCATACTCCTGCCTGTCCCCCAACTGTGGTCTCTCAGGGGCAGCTGGAGTAGCCCCATTTCCGCCCCCTCCGTGGATTGCCCCTGCCACTGCCTGGGCGGCAGCCTCGGTTTTGAGCTGTGTTTGAAATGCAGTCGGTCCGATGGGTGGCCAGTGACAGACAGACAGACAGCTCGCTTTAAGGTGCTCGTCTGCTCCTGGTCGTCACTGGGGCCGGCGGCTTCCTGTCCACCCAAGAAGACCGTGAGAAGTCTTCTGAGATTTTTCTGGGCTTAGAACTTGCCCATTTTCTCTGGGTTATTTCTCTTTCTCATTGACTTACTGGCCTTCCTTACACCTCTCGAGTATTAATCCTTTGCCTGGGTCATTGCAGGTCCTTCCCCCAGGCGGTCACTTCAAACCGAGTCTCTTCCTCCCCAGCCGCGGCTGCCCAGGCCGGTTCCTGACTTCCACTACCTGGAAGGCTAGTGAGAAAGATTTTACTTTCCTTTTTCTTCCCCAAACCAGTGTGGCTGTTGGCCTGTGAGGCCTGTGTCTCCCGGGGCCTCGCCGCTCAGCCAGACCTGGGTTGGAGTCTCCCTGGTCCCTGGACCCGCCCTGCTGCTGTTCCTAAGCACCTTGTCACCTGCACCGACACCCAGCTCAGGGAAGCCCACTTGCACTGATTTTTTTGTCCATTTGTGGGGCATTTTAACAAAAACTCTGCGTGTCCACTATTTAAAGAGCCCACTGGTTGTACGAGTTTATCGACGGAAAGCAGGCGTCCCTGGGGCCTCTTGAGGCTCCTGACCAACCAGCTTCCACGGCTGCGCTGGAGGTGGAGTCAGGGGCTTCGTGCTGCGAGGTTCGTCCTTAGTTCTGGTTTCTGGAGGGTCCCTGAAGTTCATCTTCCCACCTTCCCATTGAACCAGGGGCCTCTTTCTCATGCCTTGACAGAGGCCTCAAGGGCCCGCCCGCCTCTGTTTTACGTATGCAGCCTGGTGGCTCTGCCTCTGGGGACTGAGATTGGAAGGGACTGTGGTGTGTGGAGCCCAGCCTCCTGTCCCCATCTCCCATCTCTGTAGCCGTCCCTCCGTGTGGACAAGGAGGGCTGCAGCTCCCTGGGGGTGTCTGGGCAGAGCCTGTTGACTTTCCTGGGGGCCCTGGACAGGAGGCCCTCCTCCTGGGTGGTCTGGCTTCTCCGGGAGGGCAGCCAGGACTCCTGTGTGGGCGGGTGGTGAGGCTCAGACCCCTCCCAACAGCCTGGTGCCGCTCCGGCAGGGCCGGGGTTGGGACATGCATGGGGTGGGGGTGATTCGCATCAGGACCGCCGCCGCTTCCCACGTGGGGGGCTTGCCCAGTGCCAAGGTTTCCACCTGCCCACCCGCCCTGCAGAGAGGCCCCTGGTCTTGGCCCAGCAGCAGCCCTGGCTGCCCCATCGCTGGTCCCCCTTTAACCCGAGCAGGGCTGCTGAGGGTCTGTCACAGCGTGCTGGCAGCCGGGTGCCCACAGAGGGGGACACAGAGCAGGGGCAGCCT